GTGCTTATAGTTATCTCTAATGTCATATTTAGGATTTGAATCTCATGTCTAACAATTAGGGATGAAAAGAGTGTAGGGAAGGATGGGAGGATAAAAATAAAATAAAATAAAAAATAAGTTTTTTCAAAAATATTGGTTGAATGCACTATGATTATTATTTATCATGTTACATAAGTTGAATTTGTCAATTGCCTGATGAAATTCCTCAATATGAAGTCATATGCACTATTTTTTGAAAAATTGAAGTCATATGCACTATTTTTTGAAAAATTGAAGTCATATATTCTTTGTATTAGGCCGTGACTAATCAAGAATTTTTAATGGAAATGAAAAACTAAAAATAGAATGCAAAGAGACACATTAGTTTGGAGTGTTTACATTTTCTTTATTGTCTTCATAGTTCAAATTTAATTAAGGTTATAATTTTTTTCATAACTGCTATAGACCTATAGTTATTGCTATTATTGAAATGCAATAAATTTAATAATGAGGAAGTAGGGTATTTTGAAAAATAGAAAATAAAGACGGGATCCTATTTGGTCTCTAATGCTTAACATTTTGTCTTGTCATCAACCATTATTTTCCCTTAAATCATTAGCTATGACGTAATGAATTTTAACCATCATAATAAATTAAAAACTAAAAAGTTCATAACATAAAACTTCAATCATCAATTAATAAGGGCATAATTGGATTAATAAAAACTAAGATCACAATAATGCTTACACTTACACTCCAAAGTATCAAAATTCATGGTACTTTTTATATAGTAGTAGTAGTAGTAGTAATAATAATAATAATAATAATGAATCATTATTTTCTCCTAAATCAATAGATCGATATTATATAATGAACTTTTATCATAATAATAAATTAAAAAGAGAATAATATGAAACTTCAATCAACAACTAATAAGGGCATAATTGAAATAACAAAAACTAATATCACAATAATGCTTACATTTACACTTTTTATATAGTCATGCTTCCTCAATATGAAGTTATATGAACTATTTTTTGAAAAAATAAAGATATATGTATATATATCTTTTGAAGTTGAACTCTTTGTATTATTTTGTGTGCTATTTCTATTAACAATGGAGTATAATCAACCACCACATATAAATTTTTTTGTCTAATTGTTCATTTTTGAGAACTGAAATTTTATTGGTAGGGATAGTTAAGTTTTTCTTTTTTTTTTCTTTTGCTTTTTCATTTTTTAATTTTTTGGACAAAATCTGACATAAACCATAAATGACAAAGATTCTGTTATCCTAAGAGCACCTTGTTTTGATACAAGTATAAATATTTTTGAAGATTTAAAAATTTAATTAGGCCGTGACTAATCAAGAATTTTTAATGGAAATAAAAAATTGAAAATAGAATGCAAAAAGACACATTGATTTGGCGTATTATATTTTGTTTATTATCTTCATAATTCAAATTTAATTATGGTTATAGTTTTTTCATAACTGCTGTGGTTATTGCTATTATTGAAATGCAATAAATCTAATTATTAGGAAGAATGGTATTTTGGACGAATAGAAAATAGAGACCAAATCTTGCTTAGTCTCTCTTAACATTTTGTCTTGTCATCAACTATTATTTTCCTTTAAATCAATAGCCATGACGTAATGAGTTTTAATCATCATAATAAATTAAAAACTAAGAAGAGTATAATATGAAACATCAATCATCAATTAATAAGGGCATAATTAGATTAATAAAAACTAAAATCACAACAATCATCATAAAAAATTAAAGAGAGCATAATATGAAACTTCAATCATCAATTAATAAGGGTATAATTGAAATAACAAAACCTAGTATCACTTCACTTACACTCCAAACTCATGGTTCCTTTTATATAGTATATATATAGTACGAAGAGATGTATATTTTTTTTTTAAGTTGAACTCTTTGTATTATTTCTATATCATTTAGGAGTCTTCGGTCAAGAAATATTGCTGAATTAATGGGTGGTCTAATTGCCTTTTCGCTTGGGCACTTGGGTCGTCATCCGGCTGTAGATTTAGGCAAAACATATGGACATGAGTTCAGAATTACTGAATTCAAATGCACTCCAATAACACTTTACTGAAGATGTCTTCTTCAACAATAAAATTGAGCAAAGGCCAAAATAGCCTCTAAACTATTTATCAAAAGCTGCAAATAGTCCCTAAACTTTAACTGGGGCTAATTTAGTCCCTTGACTGTATATGTCTAGCCAATGTAGTCCTTTTTAGCTTGAGCCACCAATGACAAAAATTCTCTCGTGGACTGAGGGGCAAAATAGAAAGCCTAAAGTAGTATATAATTTATGCATCACTAAAGTAGTATATAATTTAGCAATGCACATAATTCTGGTCATCAGAATATAAATCTATATGCCACCAAAATAAAGTCTATATTCAATTTCAGTTAAAAGTCACCAAAAATATACATAACTGTAGTGAGTTATACAAGGTCACAAACACATGTCAAAGATTTATAATGACAATAGAAGCTTCTAGCCAAAACTAAATTTCCTTTAGACTTCAACTTCTGCAGCAACATCTATAGAAGCTGCATTCGAGTCCTTGCAATCACTCCCCGGTGGCATTTTACAGCTCATGAGCTTGCAAAGGATGCATGTAATGTAATTGAGCCCCTGTAAATAAGAAATGAAGTAACATGTTTTTTTTTTAACATTAAACACATATTATTTCAGCATTACATGCACCTAAACTCTCAACAAATTCACTGACTTATTTATTGATATTTTCCCCTACAACTACCCCACCATGATGGGCTTTTTTTTAGGCTTAATCACAATTAATCCCCTTAAAGTATATCTCATTTTTCATTTTTATCTCCTAACCATTTTTTTGTCTCACTTTATCCCTCATTGGACAAAATTACCCCTCTATTATCTTATTTTTCATTTTTCTTTTTTCCTTTCCCCTTTTGTGCTATTTTATTTTTTTTGCTTCTTTTTTCTTTCTTTAATTCTTCCTCTTTCCCACAAAACTCTTCATCTTAATGATTGAAATTAAAAAAGAGGAATTGCAGAAATCTATTTTCTCCTTAAATAATTAAAAAATATCCAAATCACTTTCCTAAAATACAATTTTTTTAGCCTTTCAATTCTTTTAATTTTGATTTTTCCTCTTTCCTTTCTAGTTTCTCATTTTATTCTCAAGAAAATATCATAAAATGAAATTGTGACCTAATTAATAATCATCAATTGAAATTTGTGACACGTGACATCATACAAAAAATCAAAATTAGTTTTTAATACCTTTTAAACCTTCACAATTACAAACTCAAAATAAAATGTAATTAAAAACTCAAAATAAAAATTTTTGATGGAGTTTTCTATTGGGAAGGATGAAAGAGAGAAGAAAAAGAAACAAAAAAGAAACAAAAGAGATGACAAAGGTAAATGAAAAGTCAAAATAATGGAAGGGTAATTTTATCCTATAAGGAGTTAAGTGAGCAAAATTAAAAGTTGGGGGGTAAAGTGACAAATAAGGTATACTTTAAGGGGATTAATTGTAATTAACGCTTTTTTAAAGCTAATTCTACGTGTTTCAAACACGTGAGATATATAATATAGGACCACTCTGCCTTAAAAAGTAGGAGCATGGAAGTGACAAGGCTAAGCAATTAAAAAAATAGTCAGTAGTCACACGCCGTGGACCCCAAATAATAATAATTCATAGGAGTATTTAACTTCAACGACGTGTACAATCCAGGACCACTTTGTCTTAAAACATGGGACCAGGAATCTAGGACAATGAAAGCAACAAGGCTAAACAACAAATAGTCACGTGCCACGGGCCACAAACAATAATTCATATTTAACTCGACTTTGAACCGCATCATACCCAGATCTAGGGGTGGCAATTTTCGACACGATCCGAAAACACGATACGAACCTAACACGAAATTAATGGGTTTGGGTTGAGGTTTTGGAAATTCGGGTCAGAATCGGGTTGGACCCGATGAACCCGAAAAGAAAACAGGTCGATTTCGGGTCAACCCGTGGTGACCTGATATGACCCGATATGACCCGTTTACGAATTAAAAATAATTTAATAAATATAAAAATATTTTTATCTAACTAACCTAAGTTATTCTTTTTTTCAAAGGCATTAATTACTTAATCATAAATGAATTTATTTAATTTGTGTGAAGTTGAAATTATTATATTTGGACAAATAATATATTATATTATTTTTTACTTTTATACTGTTTTAATTTATTTTATATTTTGTTTGAGATAAAACACTTTTACGGTGTTTTATTTATTTTAGATTTGGTTTGGAATTACTTATTTAAATTTTTATTACTTGATTATGTAATTAGTTTTGTGAGAAATTGATTTTATTAGAAATTACAGTGATAAATTAATAAATTAAAATTAAGTTTCGGGTCATTTCGGGTCGACCCGCCAACCCGCCAACCTGAAATTTTCGGGTTCGGGTCAGCATACCTGACCCGTCACGGGTTGGCGGGTCGGGTTCGGGTCAACAGATTTTCTGGCGGGTTGACCCGAACCCGACCCGCCAACCTGATTTGGACCCGAATTGCCACCCCTACCCAGACCAGTAAAGATAAACGTTGCACCAACCGAACACAACCTTGTCATACTATATAAATATATATATATATATATATATATATATATATATATATATATATATATATATAATATTTCTAGTTACTTCTTTTGTTTTTTTCATTTTTTATGACAAATAAATTAGGATAATGCCACTGAAAATGTTTGATTTTTAATTAGATATGTGAACAATTTTTTATTTTTCTTCTCGAGTTGGATGACCTAAATTCGCAGGGTTAGCAAAAATTAATTATTTGCTAACCATTGGGTTGGACCAATGGTTCGGAGAAGCCTATTCATGGTACTTGTTATGTAGTAATAATAATGCTGAACCATTATTTTCTTCGAAATTAATAGATGTGATATAATGAATTTTAATCATCATAATAAATTTAAAAGAGCATAATATGAAACTTCAGTCATTAATTAATAAGGGCATAATTGGAATAACAAAAATTAAGATCACAATGATACTTATACTTACACTCCAAAGTAGCAAAACTCATGATACTTTTTATATAGCAATGATTTATATATGATTCTGATTTTGATTTCGGAATATAAACCAAACACTTCCTGCATTATTTGACTTACAGGACAGGAAGATTGCAGTGTAGCTCCATTAAGTATTGACAAAGAACCAAAAATGAATAGGAGAATTCAAGGCTTGTTAGGATGTAGAATGACTGGAAGCCCTCGAGCTGGCCTGGGAGCAGGATAATATATCATATTCTCGCCCGGAATCAATTTCTCCCATCTAAACTTTGTCACCACATTGTGCATGAAAACAAGTATCACCACCCGAGCATACTCATTTCCAGGACACATGCGTGGTCCTCCCCCGAATGGCACAAATGCATAAGGTGCTGGACCGTTTCCTTGAAACCTTGATGGCTCAAACTTCTCAGGATTAGGAAAGTATTTTGGATTCTTGTGTGTGGCATCAAAAGTCCAGAAAATCTGTTGAAGTAAAGTGTAATCATCAAAATTTATGCTACATAGATCCGAATGTGGAACAAACTCCAAGAGGTCAATGATTTAAAAATCGGACCGTTAATTGAACCGGTGAAGTGAAAGAGTCGAGGTTCAACCGGTCGGACCGGTTCAATCCCGGTTCAATGAATTTTTTTAAAAATAATTTAATAAATATATATATGCACAAAATAAGACATGTAATGGACTAATTTAATACTTTATATGATGAAAAGTTTACTATTTTTTAATAACTTGGATTTTTAAAAATAAATTTTTTAAATTATAAGTTAAAACAAATAAATTTCATCTCAATTTCAATTATATCTAAATCCAATCCAAAAATATCACAATATTTTGAAATTATACAAAATTCACGTCTATGAGAATTTAGATATTGTGAACTTAAATTTTAATTTATGTTTTGGAATTTAGAGATTGCAATTTAAAAAAGGAAGTTTGGAGTTCGAAGGAAGCGAGAGATTCGAAAATAGAAATGTAAACTTGATAAGAAACAAAAAATGAGATAAAAGTGAGTGGTTGTGGCATTAAATAATTTGGGTTAAAGAAAAATAATTATTTTTTAACTTTTTTCAATTAATGGACAAAAATAAAATTAAAAGATGGAAGAAAACATCAATAAATTAAAAATAAAGAGGTTTGATTAAAAAAGGAGTGACAAAAGAAAAGAGGATAGAGAGAGAGAGAGAGTATTGAAGATTAAAAAGAAAGAGTCATGAGAGGATGAGATTTTGTAAAAAAAATAGAAAAAAGATATATAAGTGTTTGTTTGTTGTACATAGGGGTTTTCAAAATCTCTATGTTCAATCGGATTCTTTATTATTAGTTGGAATTCTTCAGAATCGCATTCAATGCCCCTGGAAGATTCGACAAGAGATTAGGCAAATTTGGCAGTTGGTGAAAGATCCTGATCGTTTTTTGCATTGCTATAGGGAAGCTAACAAAGTTGCTGATGCGCTGTCCAATGTGGGCGTATTTCATCCAGAGCATCAAGTCAAGCTTTACGAGGCCTTTAATTCGTTCCCAACTATGGCTCGTGGGGCCATTCGACTTGATAGATTAGGAATGCCTTCAATTCGGAAAAGTAAGCGTATGAAGGGCTGAGAACAAAGGACAACTGGAGCTAATATGCGGTTGAATGAGACATGGAGGTTTTGTGTTTGATTTATTACCTTTTCAGTCGATTGCTGTACTTTGAATTGGTCTTTCTCAGTGTGTAAAATTTGCTCCTATCAATAAAATAAAATAATATTAAAAAAAATATATTCATAAAAAAAAAAAAAAAACTAATAAGATGTGATGGTGCAACGGTTAATACATTGGTCTTCTATTACAAAGGTCTTGAGTTCGATTCTTGATAACTGCATTTTGCAAAACAAACAAAAAAAAAAAAAAAAGAGGGAAAGTTGAAAACCGAAAAACCACCGGTTCAACTCCGGTTCGACGGTTTTCACGGTTCGACCTATTTTTGACCGATTTTCAGACAAAGTCAAACATGGCATAGAACCGGACCGGTGCCATGACCGGTTCGCGGTTCAACCATCCAGTCCGGTCCGGTTTTCAAAAGATTGCAAGAGGTATAATTAATCGAGTTTACCTTGGAGCCTTTTGGTACTGTGAACCCTTCATAGGTGAAATCAGTGATAGCCTCTCTAAACCCTCCAAACCCTGGTGTCGATATCCTCAAGACTTCACTAGCAACGCTCCAAGAGTACTTCATCTTCTGTATATCCTCCCAAGTAAGGTGGTCTCCTTTTGGCTTTACATCTAAAATTTCATTTTGTTCTGTAGGTATCAAGCATAAAGGAAGGATATGTGACACATATAAATATATGTGGAAGAAGATATTGTTACCAATCAAATAAAGAAAAAAACACATCTGCTTCTAATATTGAGTTGCCTTTACACAATCAAGACTCCCTCTGGTTCACTGTCAAACAACTACTCTACACTAAATAAATAAATTTAATAAAACAAAAGAAGTTTGGGTTAATTATTTGAGTTTGTTCTTTACCCAGTATATGAAATTATCAAATATGTTTGTTTGACATGAAACAAGAAATTATCAAGCAGGAACTATCCAACATGCTTATCAACCATATTCAAAATCCGAAATGTCTTGTCTTCTATATTCCTCCTGCTCATCTACTTTATTTATTGCTATAATGTCTGATACGTTAATGCTTAGCAAAACAAAATACGATTTTACTATGCTTCTGAATAAGTCCTCACGAATAACCAAAATTTACGTAGACATATCAATAAAGAGCATCAGTTGCGGGTTCAATAACTTTACTACATATTCATGTTGGCATATCCTTTCCTTCTGCAGCTTAAAACTATTTTGCAGGATGACCAGAATTTTATGAATTTCCCAGCATAAAATGGGGGGGGTGGGGGGGTCTTGGCTGGTCAAGTCTAGTTTGATGACCGTCATTCGACTTCTATAATTTTGTATTTCGTCATCTTATTAGTATATGCAGCCAACCTGCTATGCAAAGAGTGCCAAATTGAGATTAAAATAAAATAAAGGGTGAATTACTAATAACCCCTCTATGGTTTCATTTATTGCCACATAATCCCCCTAATGTTTTCCCCCCCATGATTTCATGTAAACTAGAAATTGCCCTTACTTAAATTCTAAATCAAATGACAACTCAACCATCTTGTTCAAAATCGTAGTGATGAGATTATGTGGATAAATGCAAAATTACAGGGGGGGTAAATTGGATATTTATACAAATTATAGGGGATTAAGTGGATATTATAATCTTATCACAAGCATTTTTAGAGCGCGTGTGGTCTAATCACTATAACTAATTATGCATTCCGTCCATTTTTTCACTTTACATAGAACCATAGGGGGATTGTGTGGCTGTTTTTAAACTTTAGGTGGTTCATCTAACATTATGCAAAACTTCAGTAGAATCATACGTAATTTACCCTATACTAAACATGGTTTCTGGTAGCATGTGCCGATGAGCACTGGCCGATAGGTCTTAGGTGTTGATTCATTATGAAAGTCTGGCATTCTAATGAAGACGGGTTTCAGATTTTAATTTAGTATGAAAGTGAATTCAAATCAAGAAAATGTCTAAATACAAGGGGTTCTAAATGGTAAATTGAGTGTAAATTATATACGTGACTAAACAGAGTCTATTAGCTAGGCAGCGTGGAATAATGCATACACTGGAATAACTAACTGTCAAACTTACCTCCAAAGACAGAATCGTACACATCCGGAAGCTCTGCAAGATACTTCATGATGCTAGTAATTGTGCAATGCATGGTTGAGAAACTTGCCACTAACAAGCCAGCCAAATGGCTAGCAACGTCTTCGTCACAAAATGCCTGACCATTTTCATCTTTTGCCAGAAGCATGGTTGACATGAAATCCTTCCTTGAAGACAAATCATGCCCTTGAAGATCAATCCTTCTTTGTCTAATTGTTGCCATAAGTTCTTTACTAATAAGCTTGGCCGCTTTGATGGCTCGATTCAAAGCCGTTCCTGGCAAATTTATTGGCATTGAAAAAAAACCTTCTTCTATGTACTTCATGTTTTTCGCCAATCTCTCAATTTTTCCTGGATCATTGATGCCCAAGAATATATTACTGGACAAGGTGAACAAGTACCTCTTTGTCACATCACAAACGCTCACTTGTTTGCAATTCCAGTCTGTTTGCAAATGCTGTCTGGTTACCTCATCTATGATTGAAATATATTCTCGAAGTCCATCTATCTTTAGAATCCAGCGAAGAAGATTACGTAGAGTGTGTGATTGCTCTGCGCTAGGCTTCTTATCGGTCTTGGGGAAAATTGTGTCCAGTGTAGTCGGCCACCATGCTTGGACCAACTTTTTCTCATTTGAGAACAGAAACTTGTTCCCCTCAACATTGCAAAATATCACCATGGTCTTTCCGATCAGTGAAGTCCTGAAAATGCTGGACGAATACTTATTCCACCTTTCTGTTAAAAACTTATATGTTAGATTTTCTCGACGTTTCGAGTAATAATCATAAGTCTCACCAATTAGGGGCCAACCCAGAGTGCCTGGTGGAAGCAGTGGCTGTCGAGTCCCAGACTCGGTTGTTACATTGTGGGACTTCTTTCTCATAGCAAGCTTGTGCAGGCATAGATATGCTGCAGGAATTAGAGATAGAAGAAGCAGCAGAAATTGTAAGAAATCCATCAGCATGTCAGAGGAATTGGGGCTTTTTTCTTTTAAAGTATAATATGGGTATTGAAGATTAGGTCAACAAAGAAAAACTGAATGGATAAACCCGGCAGAGCTCTGGGGATGAAGGTTCTTTTGCACGCTGCAGTGCTTTATAGTGGTCGCAGAGAGAGTTACGCAATTGCTCCGACGAGTCTTTAAAGATGGCTTGAAAAACTTTAAAACTTTTATTTCGTCTTGCATTACCACCACTTGAAATTTCTTGTATTTCCTTCTGTCGCTTATGTTGCCCCCTAAATTTATGAAGTAACTAGATTTATCACTTATTTTAAACATGAAGACATCCAAAATTAAAATTTAATTTTAATTAAAAACAAAATAAGAATCTTCAACTTTTTCCACGTAAAAAAAACGAATGAATGATTTTTATTTGAATCAAATTTTTAAGACCTACAGTTGTTTAGTGCATTAAAAACTGGAATCATATATTGCTTGAACATTATTATTGTCCTTGATACTCTTTATAATTTTGAAAAGATTGGCACGTCTGTTGTACTTTTTTTAAAAAAAATTTTTTTTGTAGGATGGGAAATATGAATTTAAGAACCGGCCAGGAGGAGAAAGAAAAATTTGAGCCTAGAACATTTAAATCTTGGGACCTTAATTTTAATCACTGGATCAATGCCTTTTCGACGTACCATATATATCTTTAACATTGTGTACTGTTGTTAATTATATCTGAAAAAAAATAAATTTGCCTCAGTGATATTGAATTGTACACTGAAGCACTTACAGCCCCTAACCTTGACATCCCAGCTTTGCTACTGAAGCTAATAGTATCTGTACCGACATCGAAGATTAAAGTTGGAGAAATACCACAAAGAAAACACTATTATTATATAATAGTATTATTAAATCATTTGTTCAGAAATGTTTATGCAAAGAGAAATAGCACTAGTTTTTGTGAATGCCACTCCACAGGCTCCTTGCTCTTTGACAAAAACTATAACGATTATATGGAATATTGAGATATACTATTAGCATTTAGTAAAATTGAAATGCTAATCTAGGGTTTTGCAATATCTAAAGAATTTGCATATAAATACCAACACGTAATCTAGGTTCAGTTTCTATAGATATTACCGGTGCACTGCCAAAAATTTAATGAAAAAAATGTTTGGTTATTGAGAGATAAATTAGAGAAACACAAATAGTATAAAAAGGAATAACTATTATATTTCCTCCATCCCAAATTGTTTGTCTCATTTTTTTTCAACTTTTTAACACTAGTAGTTTGATGGTGATGTTTGTGGATTTTTTTTTAAAATTGCCTTAAAAAATTCAAAATTAATAGCATTGGAAAGAGAGATCAAATATAACTTTGACTTTGGTAAGATGACAAACAATTTGGAAAATCCCAAAATGGAGAGTATCATACCTTCAATGGAAGGGTTGAATATTTTTTTTTATTTCTTATATGTTAATTGTCCAAGTATCCATCAATTCTTTAGTGGTTGAGCTTTTTTTTTTTTGGAAGGGTTGAATAGCTTGTTTGGATTTTTTTAAAAAAAATTTTTGTATACTGATGTTAGGGCAGATATCTCTCTCTCTCTCTCTCTCTCTCTCTCTCTCTCTCTCTCTCTCTCTCTCTCTCTATTTTCTTTTCCAATTTAGGTTTTCTACTATATTAATTCATTATATAGAATTCTTTGTTGTTTCAAAAATTATTTCAAAAATCATTTCCCCTAATTTTTTATAACTTCAAGTACATCTTAACAATGCTCAATAAGTATCCATTAGACAGACCTTTCAAAACAAAGTAAATTAATCATGCAGAATATTTCTTTCTTTAGTTAAGCACAAGAGTGAGAAGCTTCTTAAAGGCAAAATCTTACTGAAAAGCAAGTTATAAATCTAAAGATTGAGAGGGGAAACAACATCATCTATTAGTACTTCTTTGATTGCAAAGTTAACGGTTGCCAAGTTTAGGGGTCAGAGGATGCCATAAACCCCGATGGAATAAATCTGTTGATTATAAATTATTTAGTTGATATGCAATAATATCTGTAGATATGTTACAAATATCATCATAAATATTGTCTCTTCATTTTTGCTCTTCATTTTCTACAATTCGAAACCCCTGCAATTGATGAGCCTAGTGTTAAATCTGCCTTGAACTATTTATGGAAATGTAGAATTTAAGGCTACGATTAAAGTTTTGGAAAATGCATAAGGGCATTTTTTATTGCCCAAAATGTCCAAGGGTCAAAATGAAATATCACAAAAGTTAAGAGTATCAGCGTTCAATTCCTCCTTTTATGCTTTTTGCATAGAGTTCCTCCTCTGTTTTTATCTTCTTCCTCCTTTTTGACAAAAAGAAAAAACATGGAATCTTCTTATTTTTGTTTTTCTTTCTCTTCACTGGTCACATCCTCCTTTGTGATTGTTTCCTTCTTTCTTTCAATTTGATTTTAGATCTTAAGACATGCTTTTCTTTTTCTTTTTCTTTTTTTAACATCTACTAAGAGATTAATTAGAATAGTCATACTATCACAATTGTATATCAACTTTTATACACATTAGCTACGCATCAATAGTAACCACAGCTTTAGGACAGCCAAAAGAGCATACCTTGACTTTGTTGTCATGTATACCTTTCTGGACTGTCATCTCCGAAGACTTGGAGTCTACTTGGGATGTCTTTTGTGGAAGATGAGGAGAATAATTTTTTTTTTAAAGAAAGAAAGGATAACTACTTAATTATATGACGTTTCTACTACCAACAAAATAGCAGGCTCAACAAAAGGTTGGTGAGGGGTAATAGAATCGTCAAAGCATACTTAGAGAATTCGCTACTTGACTCACGACTCTTGAGTCATGTCCAAAGTCATCGTTGGATGGTTTCATGAAGTAACGACTGGTTTCTGACTCTTGAGTCAAGTATAAGCCGTCGTTGGCTATTCCACTCAGCCAGGTTTCATGAAGTTACAACTGGGAGAAGCTACGGCTACCAAGCAATAATATCATGACTCGCGAGTCAAGTCGTTGTTTTATGATGTAACTGATGTTGGTTATTCTTTGAGATTGAGCCAATTTCATGAATGAAGTGACAACTCATAGAAGCAATATTGGCAATTTGGTCCAAACCTATTGGATGGTTCCTCTTATTTTCCATTACACAAGTGTTGAAGATTTTGGACAGATTAGTAGATGGTGATTTATATTTTATTATGTCCATATATTTGCAATTTCTAATTGATATTTGACTACATTGACATTTTCCTACCTACAAAATGTCAATGGACTTGGAATAATTAATTTGCTTGAAAAGGATAGGATTAAATGCCGAAAACCTCCATAAACTATTACAAGCAAGCCGTCGTTGGCTATCCAGTCAGATTTAGTCAGGTTTCATAAAGTAACAATTGGGTGAAGCGACGGCTACCAAGCAAGATTGACAATTTGGTCCAGGGCACCCAAACCCATTGGGTGGTCTTATCATGCAAGTCTTGAAGATTCTGAGAAGATTGGTGAATGATGATTCATACTTTATTACGTCCATAAGTTTGTGATTTCTAATTGATATTTGGCTACATTGACACATTCCTGTAAATTGTGAATCGACTTGTAATTATTGATTTGCTTGAAAAGGATATGCCTAAGTATTCTATACATGAGCACAATAATGTTGGTGCAATTTTATTCCATAGTTCTTTTATGCCCTAAATGCTTGCAAATATTTAGGCAGGCATGATTTATGAGTTTATTTTTAAACTATGCGGCATATGCAATACACAAATAGATTTTCCTATGTCATCGTAGGTCATTCATCATCTTTTTTTTTCAGTATTTTCTTACATTTGTACATCTCAATAAATAATATAGAAATAAAACTTAAAACCTAAACAAGTTATCACTTGGATAGGAGGCCAATGCGATTGTATTTTCATTTGGTTTGATACGATTATTATACTTGTGTACTCGTGAAAAAGTTGATGTGTATAAAAAAAATATTTCACATATATTCTGCACAACAATTAATGTAGTTATGTACTAAAAATCATAACACAAAGAAAAGTTAGACAGAACCAGACAATTCCTCACTCATTGCTATTGAATTCACTCAAAATGGGCCTTATTCTTTTTGCCAGTTTTGCTGTCATTTGTTTGTTTCGATAAAAGATTCTTTTTGCCAATTTTCTGCAAATTTTCGATAAGATCTTTTTTCTGCAAAAGATTTGTATCATTAGTCTGGAGAGATTTGCAGCCTAATGAGATTTTTCTGCAAATGCTTTTTTTTTTTTCGATTAGAAGTTTCCTATTATTTCCACGTACTCTTGAGACCCATTTGAAACTTAGACCTCCTATTATTCTACTGTAAATCATTATAAAATCCACTGAAAACAAACAAACCAAGACACATGCACAGTGTAGAGAATCAAACTTACCAATACAGAATAACTGCCTTCCAAAATATGGAAAAACGTTCAAGACAATTACAGCAGTTAAAAAATATAGGACGATTTATGACAACAAAATTTGCTTCCAGTTTAAATCTGGAAATATTTTGTCCTTTCAACATATGGGTTCTCCTCTTAGTTTTGCTGGAAACAAATTGTAAAGTTCTATTTGGGCTAGTTTTTGTTGTCATGTCATGAATGTCATGCACTAATATATAACACGCAAATTGGGTTGGTATGTTTCCTATTCCAAGGCCCGTGATTTCGTCAGTTTAGAATCTAGATGGACCTCTTACGATTTTAATATCTGTTTTTAATATCTGTTTTATCTCGACTTTGTCAAGTACAATCATAAGGCTCAATTGACAGCCTGCTGGAATAGCCCTTGGATTTAGATTTCACATTTTTGATATCCGATTTGGGTCTGTAATTGGCCTCGGAAAAAAAAATTACGAACTGTTTAATTGTTATTGTTGACATGTATTGAGACCGTAAGCCTCCGCAACTCCTTTCCGCTACCAGGACGGGAGTATAAACTTTCTTCTAGCTTCTGGTAGCCAAGAGGATGTGGTCCATGTGGAATGTTGCTAGAGGAAGCCATCTGCAATTATGCCCGTCTTTTTCTCTCCTTATTCTCTTATTTCTGGGGTGAAAACTCCAGATTTTAATAGTTTCAGGAATAGTTTTAGAACTAG